GCCGGTGTCCGGGATGGGACCGGGATGTTCCGCGGGTGCCCGTGTCCCCGTCCCGCTCCGTGACGTCGCCTTTGCTGCCCGCAGGGTCCCGACCCCGGGACGAGGGGTTCGTCCTCGGGGAAGGCGATGATGCCGGGGGCTGCCCCGTTCTGCTGCCCCCGCACCTCCCTCCCCCGGGACCCCCCGGGCGAGGGGTCGGACGGTGACTCCGAGACCCCCACCTCGAGCGTGATCCCCAGCGAGGAGGAGGAGGAGGAGGAGGAAGGCCACCAGGTGAGCAAGCCGTGTACCCAAACCCCCTGGGATTTGGGGTCCACGCTGTCCCCCTGTGACCCCAGCACCTGACACCCCCTCCCCCCAAATCTCCCTGCAGTGGAGGGTGGGCGACGCCTGCGTCACCACCTGGGCAGGGGACGGGCGGTTGTACCCTGCCCACCTGCGGGCGCTGGACCCCGCCGCCGGCACGTGCTTGGTGGAATTTGACGGCTACGGCAACACCGAGGAGCAGGCGCTGGCCGATCTCTTGTCCCCCCGCCCCGGGGCCTGGGGGTCCCCTGACACCCCGGGGGGTGAGGGTCCCCCCTCATCGTGGGAGCCACCCCCAAGCATGAGGAGGAGGAAGGGCAAGCGGGTGCCCTGCTCCCCCCAGCCCCCTGAGGTGAGTGCCCACCATCCCCCCAGCCTTGGGGCACCCCGTGCCCCCCCTGTATCTCCCTAAGGGGGCTGTGGGTGCTGCTGGTAGGTGATGCCCCCACCATGGCCCCCAGCCCCGCTGCACGCCCTGCAGGAGGAAGAGGAGGAGGAGAGCGCCTTGGCCGCGATGCTGATGGCCTGGTACATGAGTGGGTACCACACCGGCTTCTACGTGGTACGTTGGGGGGGGTGAATGGGATGGGCGGGGGGGGGAAGGAGAGGGTGTCTCCCCCTGACTCCCCCACTCTTCTGTGCCTCAGGGCCTCCAGGAAGGCCGGGCAGAGGCTGCCAAGCCCCCCCTGAGACCAGGCCGCAGGCAGAAGCCCCCACGCAGCTAGGAGGGCAGGTGGGTTTGAGGACGCTCCGGCACCGGGACCCCCCTCCCTGTGCTCCCAGCAGGGCCCTGCTCTCCCATCACCACCCTGCTCGGGGTGGAGGGGAGGCACGGGGGACCTGGGAGGGCTGCGGGACAGCGGGGGGCCCCACAGTGATGCTGGGGGACCCCATGGGGACACTGGGGGACTTGGTGTGGCTGTGGGACATGGGAATGAGGGGGCTGGGATACCCCATCACCCATTCCCTGCCGCTCACCCGTGTCCGCTCTCCTCCAGCTGGATCCTGTGCCCTGCCAGAGGGGCAGCCGTCGGGCAACACCGCGCTCCTGCTCTCCCCTCACTTGTGGAGGGGTCCCCCCCACGGGGGTCCTGGCTGCAGGGATGGGGGGGAGCAGCCTTTCTCCTCCCTGGCTGGCTCTGCATCAGAGCCCTGGCCCAGGGGGGGCTGCAGCACCCACTTTGTGTCCCCCACCCCCCGTTCCCTCCTTTGGAATAAAGCTGTTTGTGAGACCCGTGTGCCAGCCTGTCTGTGCCGTCCCCGGAGGGACCCTGGGCTCTGCCAGCGCCGCGCCGGCGGGTGAGACGCACCGGGATGAGCCACGCCACAGCCGTGTTTGCTCAGGGAATTGGCAGAGTGGCCTCTGCCTCGCTGCGGGGCTGGGGGGGCTCAGCCCCGGCGGGGGATTCTGCGCCCGCCGGCTCTTGGGCTGCTCTGGCTGGACGTGGCACTGACGTACATCCCGATGGCTCCTTGCCACCGGCTCGGGGCACGTGTGTCCCAGGGGATACATCTCCCGGGAACATGTGTCCCCCATCCAGCTTGATGACAGCATCAAGGTTTGGGGGGACACACACGCACCCGCTAAGCGCCTGCTCCCCATCTGCGTCAGCAGGTGTTTGCCCACGCCGGTGACTGTCGGTGGCTGCGGTGGGGTGGCAGAGGGGGTTATAAAGCCAGCTGAGTCGGGCGCATCTGGGAGCATCCGGAGAAGCATCTGGCACCGGGAGCATGGAAAGCGCCTGGCTCTGCCTGCTCTGCCTGGCCAGCTCTGGCCTCATCCTGCTGGGCTCCACAGAGCCAGTGCTGGGGCTCCAGCCGGGCAAGAGCCTGCCCGGGCAGAGCCAGGAGGAGACGGAGCTGGTAAGAGGCTGGGGAGTGGTGTCTGGGGGGGGACAGGACCCCCAGCAGCCCCCATGTGGCTCTGGGGCACCTTGGGGTACTCATGCTCCCATTGCCCCAGTTTGGGGGCTGGTTCTGGCCATGCTGGGGCATTGGGGAGGGGGAGACCAAGACCTCGCCACTGGTTTTCTGCTGCTGCTCTTGAGCACTTATGGGGGGGATCCTCGAAGCAGCTCCCCCGGGGGCAGCGGGGCCATCCCATGGCATGTGGCAATTTGTAGCTTTTTCCTGGTTTTCCCTCCACATCCTGCCCCGACGGGCTGCCCTGGCTCAAGTGTGGTGAAGGGAGATGCTGTGCCGGGTGGGAGAAGGTGGTGGGTGCCAGGGAGGGGACATGGGGCTGCACCCAGGGGGCGTGGGATGCACCCTACCACTCCGAGACCCCTGATCCTGCCCCAGCCGTGATTCCTCCCCCTGGCAGGGACTGAGCCTGAGCCAGGCGCAGGGGGTCTGGAGTGGTGATTGTACCCCAGGGTGCAACCTGTGGGACTGGGTGCTCTTCATGGGTGGGACAGGATCTGGCACTGGTATCCTGGGGGGCTTGGGGTGACAGGGTGCTGTCTGCGGCAGGTCGAGGCGCTGCAGGAGGTGCTGGAGAAGCTCGGGAGCAGGGAGCTGCCGGCGGTGGAGAAGAGGCTGAGCTGGGTGCCCTTGGTACGGCCGGGGTGGGGGGTGCTCAGCCCTGGGTGCTCAGGCTGGCACCGGAGCTGGACCCTTTGGGTGCTGGTCGTGGGGGGTCCAGCCCTGGGGGGGTCTGGGCTGGCCGAGCTCCAGGGCTGACGGGTGCTGTCCTGCAGTGCGAGCCTGGGGACCCCTGCGCGGTGCGGAGGGGGGCACGCATCGGGAAGCTCTGCAGCTGCCCCCGCGGCACCGCCTGCAACTTGTTCATCCTCAAGTGCTCCTAAGGGATCGAGGACACCGGGAACACCACCAGCCGCCGGGATGCTGCTGGCCCAGGCTGTGCCCCATGCAGCGGAGGGGCAGCCGTGGGCCCCTGGCCCCCTCCCCGCACCGGGACATGCCTGGATGTGCCTGTACAGCACCCTTGGGTGCCCTGGCCCATGGGGCTGTGGGTGTCCAGGGCCAGAGTCACATTAAACGACTTGGATTCACGCCTGCTGCCTGCTTCTTGGGGGATTCTGGGGGGCCAGCACCCTTCTGCTGCTGGGCACGGGTCCTGGGGTGCGGGGGGGGGGGGGTGGGTGGGGTCCCATCCTGCTGCAGGCCTGTGTGGGGCATCCGAGGCTGGGGGGGGATGCATGGCGGGGGGGCGGGGGGGGCCCGGCATTGGCGGGGGG